TACTTGTCTTTGGGTAATTAAAAACCAGCTTTTGGGGACCCTTTCCCACTCCCCATATGGGAGTCCATTCTGTGGGACTTTTTCCCTCTCCCCATGTGGGAGTCTGTACTTGTTCAATAAATCTCCACCTCTGCTATTAAAAAAAACACAAAAAAACAGCTTTTAACATCAAATACCTTTTAACATCTAAAGTCCTTCTCTCTTACCTATACTGCGCTTTTGATCATAAAAACAAAATTATATACTTTTTTTGAGCTTAGAAGCATTTACCTGCAAATAGTGCATACTTAAAACATCTATGACTAAGGATTATACATCTATATTACCTCAAATTAGGTTCAATTTTGGCCCAATGATCAACTTTTTGAAAAGTAGCTACAGGGCACAGATTTAAGTACAATAATATTAATCACAGTATTATTTACAGTGAAATATTGAAACAAATTTTTATTTCCAAAATTAGGGAAAAGTTAAATAACTTAGCATAAATAATGGAAATAATTTTAAAATATTTCATGACATAAATTTTCTTAAAAGGATCTTAATTTTATAAGTAAAATTAAATTGCAAATACAATATGATTTCCACATATATAAAAAGTCTGTACAATGTGTATATATATAGGATAGTCTCTGAAAAATACATGGAAGGCATTTTTTGTGGCTCAAAATATTATTGTGGTTCTTTCTGAGTAATAGAATTATCAGTGACTTTTAATTTCTTTTTTATATAGCAATTTTTCTATTTTCTAAATATACAATAAACATGTCTTTCTTTGACAATACCAAAAATACTTTTAATAATCAATTGAGCTCAAGAGAGGCTAAATTTGAATGCTTTACTTTCTATTTCGATTTATTTTAAATATAAGGAAGCACAACAATAAAAGTATAAAAGTATTATAGTAATTAGGAAAAAAAGATTTGTAAGACACTGTCCTGAATATAAATGCATATTTGAATATAGAACAGGATGTTTAGAAACAATCTGATCATTTAAAATCAGCCACTTCTCAAAGTTTCAATGGTAAAATTACCTATATTTGCAATGTAAACTTGCTAGAAAACTATGTAGAAAATAATTATGTTATCAATGCGGAATGTGTTGCTCAATAAGTCTATACTCAGTAAACTAACATTAACGAGGTTAATATGCTCCTAGAATTATTCAGAGTTTAATCCTATATTTTCTTTTTTGATGCAATAAGAAAAAAATTTATCTCTTATCAAGTAATGTTTTATTACCTCTCTGGAGTCACTTTTCTAACAACCATTGCTTGATAGGTGATGGCTTTCTTGTCTTTAAGGCCTGCGTAACTAAAATCTGAAGGAATCACACCAAGTATGACAGCTAAAAAACCAATTGCTTCAAACATTTCTAGATTTTCTTTTTGTAGGGTGAAGGCTGAAAAAAAAAAAATCCGAGGTTACAAAAAAGGCAGCTACCATACATCAAGTACATTCTTAGCGGACTAACAGATTAATATAATGAATCAAATCATTAATTTAAATGAGTATTTTTTAATGAAAATACAAAATCAGTGTCATAGATTTCAGTGGTCATTTTTAAAATGCCAATTGGCTCATTAAAGGTTTATAGAAAAAAAGTCCAAATTCCTTAGTTTGGCATTCATATTAGGCCTATTCTCCCTTTTCAGTCCCCACATGTGCCACTTCCATTCATACACCCTATAATACTGATAGAGAATGTCTCACAATCCTTGAGTGAACTAGAGCCTTTCACAGCTTTGTACTTTTGCACATCTGAGTTTCTCTAAAATATATATTCCTTCCACTTTGTTTGCCATACTTGTATTCATTCTTCATAATCCAACAGCAGCAGCAGTCCTCCCTCATATTTTTTCCAGGTTACCTACTCTGAATGCTCCCAAAGCAGGGATCATGTGTGTTTTATCAACTATTATATCCTCAGCTTAACACATAAGTATTCAAATACTTGTTGAATCAATGAATAAGTGAACTCCACAAGGAGATGATTGCTTCATCTTGCATGTCTCCACAAATTGTCATTATCTGTATCATGACACTTAATACCATGTATTAAAATGTATCTCTTTATGGTTTATCCACCCCATAGACTTAGAGTTCCAGGCCAGCAAGCCAGTGAATAAAACAATGCATGCTTCATAGTAGATGAGAGTGAGATTGTGGAGATGAGAAGGAGGTCCAAGCCCACCAAAAAGGCCCCCAATACATTGATCTATATACCCTGCCAGCATTGACAGTGACAAAATACAGCAATCCTCAGTTCACCATATATACCTATAAGATATTTCAGCCCTGGCCGGTATTTCTCAGTGGTTCAAGTATTGACCCACAGACCAAAGGGTCACAGGTTTGATTCCCAGTCAAGAGCAGGTTCCATCCCTGGCCCTGGTTGGGATGCATTTGGGACGCAACCAATCTAGGTTCATAGGTAGATAGGTACATACATACATTTTTACATCTTTCTACTTGCTGGGTCATGTTTATGTTTAATGTCCATTTTTCTTAGAACACTCTTCAAAGAGGCCCATAGATGCTGATTAAAATGACAATTGCACACTTTGAGGGCAAAGTGGGTTTACAGTTATTTGTATGGGAAATAATAGAATGATTAATAAATAACAATCTGTTTATATAAAACCCTAATATGCAACTAGACCGAATGGCGGAACCGAACCGAACAACCGAACAATTGGTCGCTATGATGTGAGCTGACCACCAGGGGGCGCGCGCAGAACATGGCAGGTATTGGCAGCAGAGTGCGGAACATGGAGGGCATCAGCTGCGGCAGGATGGTGGAGCAGGTGAGTGGGGGCGCCAGACCAAGGCGGGGTGCCGGTCACTGTCATCGGGGCAAGCCTCTAGTAGTTACTGAAAATTCTTTGCTCCCACGTGCCGTGGTCCCACCCAGAGCTCGCACCTGCTGCCAGTGCTGGAGCTGCCGCTCACACCCTCTGCTGGCACCAGCCCCACTCGCACCGGCAGCAGGTGCCAGAGCTGCCACTCGCACCCGCTGCCGGCGCCCAGAGCCAGTCTGATCACCTGGCACCGTCAGCGGGCGCGACTGCTGGCCCCAATCACCCCTGAGGGCTTCTCCACCTCCCCCTGCTCCTGAGGGGTGATCGGGGCAGCAGACGCTGCTCGCACCCACTGCTGCCACTGGCCCCAATCGCTCTGCGCAGTCAGGGGGTGCAAGCAAGGCCAGCACCATCAGTACATGGAAGTGGCAGCTGTGGCAGGAGCAGGGCTGCCAGCAGACAGGTGACTGGGGACCGTGGCAGGAGGGGCCGGGCCTGGATGCTAAGGATGGGCCAAGACCTGCCCCTGTGCCCACCGCAGCCTCACGGCCCACAGTTCCTTTCAAGGTGCACAAATTCGTGCACTGGGCCCCTAGTGCAATAATAAACTTCATGTTCTGTGTACTCAGAACTGCAAACCTACTTTTGCCCACCCTGCATATGAAATAGCTAAACAAAGCTTGTAATACCCATACTGTAGAACATCATATAGTATTTAAAAGAATGGGGAAGAGCTACATGTTCTTTATATGTCTATGTAAATGATCTCTAAAAACAAAAACAGCAAGGTTCAAAAATACACATAGTATAGTTCACTTATGTGAAAGTTTTAAAAATCTGCAATGCAACATAGTATATTTTCAATGTTTCAGTTTTTAAAATAAAAATATATTAATATTTTTACCTAAATCCTTAAGAATTGTTAATGTGTAAAACTATAATTTCTGAAGAATATTCAAACACTGTCCATTATTTTAAACTTTTTTTTATCACTAGGGTCATTAATTTTCGTACCAACATAACAGCTTCCTAGATTCTCCAAATTTTCTATTATAGCAGTGATAAATTTAATGTACTATGACTCCTGTATCTTAGAGAACTGATAAAAGAAGTAGAGGAAAGGAGAGGATCATACAAGTTAATTCTGTGTGCTAAATCACAATTTGCTTTTACACTTTCAGGGTATCTTGACCAATGGATTTGAATATAAACCTCTGATTTTCAGTTAGCTGTTTTATCAGTTGTCTCAAATAAAATAAAATTAAAATAAAACCCCACATTTAAAATGTAGAGATTATAACCTCAAAAATAGTTCAGCTATTGTCATGATAGGATTAATTATAGAATTTAAATAAAATAATCTGGGAAGAAAGGTCAATAAAACAAAAATGATCCCTGCTTTGGGAGCATTCAGTCTTGGAAAAGAATTTGAGAAAGAAGTGCTGCTGTGGTGGGGGCCTGAAGAAGGAAGAGAAGTATGGCAAATAGTCAAAGCAATAGAAAGATCAAAATATCAAATATTTTCATATCTGTCCATAATGTTCTCCCTTTTTCAACTGCATGCCTGTGTGAACTGAATTCTGTTCATTTGCTTCAGTCAAAAAAAAAATTACACTAGATTGCAGGAAAAGAAATGAGAATACAGCTGACTTTTTTATGTCAGATATTAGAAAGATTTACAGAACTATAAAATAATACAATCCTCGCTAATTTTTAGTAGAAAAATATTATCATTTTTCATTAAGTGGAGGAGATAAAGATAAAAAATATGAACAATATAATGGCAATAAATACATACCTATCAACAATTCAATCTGAAAATCAAAATAAACGAACAAGAAGTCTAATGAACAACAAAAAAAACCACCTGATAAATAAAATAGAACCAGGGGGTCAATGGGAGGAAAAGGGGGGACATATGTAATACTTTCAACAATAAAGATTTAAAAATAAATAAAATAAAAATAACATAAAACCAGAAGCATGGAAACATGGGACAGATGAATCTCAGAGGGAAGGGGAGTTGGGGGCGGGGGGACGGGGGACGGGGAGATTAACCAAAGACGTATATGCATATAGGCATTACCCCTGGACACAGACAATAGGGTGGTGAAGGCCTATTGGGGTGGGGTGGGATCCTGGTGGAGGAGGGCAATGGGAAAGAAAAAGGGGAGGACATCTGTAATACTCTCAACAATAAAGATTTTAAAAAAGAAAAATTAAGGGCATTCAGCCGAAAACACAGAAGGATCCTGCTATGATAGTAGAACTATATGACAGGCTTTCAGCAACGTTTACGCTGTACCTCCTTTAATAAAACTCAAAATGAATCCTCAAATGTATCTGCAAATTACTTACTACTTGCTAAAGCAAAAGTTCAATGCTCTTTAAAAGAAGACAACAAAAACTGGATACTCAACAATGTAACACACAATGTTTGACCCCCCAAAAAATTACTAGACATGCAAAGAAGCAGAAAAATATGACCCATACCCAAATAAATGTCAGGCAATAAAAATATACCCAGAAATGACAGAGATGGAATTAGCGGACAACAGGTCTTTAAAAATAAAGGCCTAGTCAAAATAGGCTCAAAGATTATAGGAAAAGATTATAAGAAATTGAAGACCTTGGAAAAAAACAAATGAAACTTCCAGAGCTGAGAAATGCAATATATAAATGAAAACTGCATTCGATGCTTAAATCTTTCATAAAATTCCTTCTTCAATAATGTGTTCTAGCAAAAGAGTACAGCACCGTCTAAAAAAAAGTAAACATAGACTTGCCATTTGAATCAGCAATTCCACTTCTGGGTATACACCAAAAAAGGCACTGAAAACAGGCACCTGAAAATATATTTTTACAGCCATGTTCATAGCAGCTAAAAGATAGAAACAGCCCATATCCATTGGCAGATGAATGGGTAAACAAAATGGGGTATCTTCTTACAATGGAACATTACTCAGCCTTAGAAAGAAAAAAATTCCAGCACATGTATAACATGGATGAACCTTGAGGACCTTAACCTAAGTGAAAGAAGTCAATCACAAAAGGACAAATACTACTGTATAATTCCACTTACATGAGATATCTAAAGTATTCAAATTCATAGAGACAAAAAGCAGAATAGTGGTTGCTAGTGGTTGGAGGGTAGAGGTGAATGAAGAGTTAATGGGAACAAAGTTTCAATTTGAAAAGATGAAAAAGTTCTGAGGATGGATGGTGGTGATGGTTGTACAACAATATGAATGTACTTAATGCCAATGAACTGTACACTTTAAAATGGTTAAAATAGTAAGTTATATGTTACATATATTTTACAACAATTAAAAAATAAAGCTTTTAAAATTTTTTTATTGAATTTTTACAGAGGGATAGAGAGATGGAAACATGCATGAGAGAGACACATCGATCAGTTGCCTCTTGCACGCCCTGATTGGAGAGTGCGCCTGCAACCCAGGCATGTGCCCTGACTGGGAATCGAACCAGGGACCTCTTGGTTCATGGGTTGATGCTCAACCACTGAGTCACAACGGCTGAGCCAAAAAATGAAATTTTTTTTGGAAGTGTAACAAAGTCCTATTTGTTGATAGGACTAATTATTAAGGGATTTTTTAAAAAAAATATGACCTAGTTTTGTTGTTACAAAATTTGGGATAGGCAATGTTTATCTATCTCTTTTTCTTTGTTCTTGGACTTGTAGGTACACTGGTTATCTTCATACTATCCTCTGGTGAACCATCAATTCCTCCCTTTAACATATCCCTCCAGTTATTGATCGTTTTTGTAAAACTAATGTAAACCAATATGCACAAAGTTTTCACAATTTTTTTGGTTTAACTCAAATTAATACGTTTAGAATTTCAAATAATAAAAATCTATAGATGCTTAAATCACTCTAAGCAATTCTTCCCCCTACATATAAAGCTAGTTTTGTTTTCCCTTCTAAATAGATCTGTTAGCATTTATTGCATGCCTCATGTGTCAAGTCCTATGCTAACAGCTTTCTCATGAAAAAGACTAGTCACACAACCAGACAGAAATTTTCAGGAGAGAAGACACTAACATTTGAGTAACTACTATGCATTAAACATTTTCATTAATTATTTCCTCTAATATCATTGTGAATTATATTTTATTATTACCCCATTAGAATATTATTATCAATTATACTTTATTACCCCATTTTAAAAATACAACCAAAAGTTAGGAATTAAGTAACTTGCCCATGGTATTATTTTCTCCATTTTTTACATTTGTAGACACTAAGTCTTAAAGATATTAAAAAGTTCATAAATATTTTTATAAAATAAAATCATAATGTAAAATAAAACCCACAGAGTTTCAAGGTCCAAACTCTTTCCATTTACACCACAGAGTCCCTATAAAGTACAATCTTATTTCTGTTGCACACACATCTGGGCAAATTTGGGTTACTGTTTTATCTGAAATACTTTTCTATGTAAATTTATAAAACATGACCATATGAAACATCTCCCATCCCTCATGGAGGATATAGGCCAATTAAACATGGTCAGCCAAACTTGTAGAATGAGATTTCATCAGTTCCATCCCATCCTAGGAATTGAATATATCCCCTAAAATAGCGATTCTCAAAATGTGGTTCCCAGACCAGCAGACAAAGCACCACATCTTCTAAATCATAAACTCTGAGAATGGGACTCAGAAATCTGTTTTAAGAAGCCCTTTTGGGAATTATAACACATGCTACCATTTGAGAACTTCTTCTCTAAAAGATGGACAGAACCAAAGGAAGGAGCTCCCTGTAAGTTTTCAGGGTTGTGAGGTTCAACTGGCTTAGAATACAAGGTATTCTCTTTACTTTCCCCACCATAGCAAACATACAAATGCTTAATTTTAATTAAGATAACTTCCAAAATATTATATCAAAATTTACTCCAGTCCTAACTGGTTTGGCTCAGTAGATAGAGCGTGGGCATGTGGACTGAAGGGCCCCAGGTTCGATTCCAGTCAGGGGTACATGCCCAGGATGCTGGCTCGATCCCAAGTAGGGGCATGCAAGAAGCAGCCAATCAATGATTCTCTCTCATCATTGATGTTTCTACTCCAATAAAACTAACTAAATACAAAATAACTGCTTCAATTTTACATATTTCAGACTGTTAACTATAAATGTCTGTGTTAACCTATCACCAATAGGGATTATTTCTATAATTTGTGTAATTTTAAAGTCTTTTTCGCCCATTAAGAACAGGCCCATATATTTTTTCCCATATCCCTCTGGACAAGTCCATTCAATTCATTTGAATTATTCAGCTTTCACCTTTTTTTTTATTGTCACAGTTTTAATTAAGCTTATGAAAGAAAACGGTAATAATTTATCAAATTACCTGTGTATATAACTTTTCTTTCCTGGGATTCAACACACCTTTTCCTGTGCTTGTGTGCTTTTTCACGAAATCTTACCGTTATCACTGTATTTGGATTACCAGCATTGTAATTAGCTTCAGGAAAAGATTTGGTTTCCACAAGATTTCCAAACTTTTTGTTGACAAAATGGTGAACAGCTTTTCTGTGGTCTTTGTTTGTATCAGGTTTAAAGGTAAATTTGGAATTTTCTTTCTTTGCATCCAAGTATTTAAAAAAGTCAGATGCTTCTTCTTCAGATACCAACTGACAGAGTTCTTTATACTCAAGATTTGGTTTTACAACAATTTCACTGTTTTTTCCTACAGTTATTAAAAAAGGGAACTTCTGCCGAATAGCACTATGCAAAATAGCCCTCTGGTTTTTGTCAAGGATTCTGCCCAGTGAGAATTCAGGAGACGGTCCAGTCAGCTCACTTTCAGAATTCCATTTCTCTTTTATATCACAGGCAAACTGATCCAGTAGTTCATTAGTTTTTTCATCCAACAATGAGCCTAATGCATAAACTTTTTCTTCTTCACCTTTGGAAGTTCCATCATGGATAGCATCTTCCTTTTCTGAACCAGGCTGATGATTCTGGTCATCATCAGAGCACCGGACCAATATACTGACTTTCTGGTTGCCTCCCTCTTCAAAGACTAAATTTTGCAGACCTAGTTTTGTTTTTTTGGCAAAATTATTTGGCTCAGGCAGTCCTTTACTCATCTTGTAAATAGGTTCATCAGTGGCCTTATTAACTAACTGTCCCCGCTCATCAATCTCAATAACAACAAAGTCACTTGGCGAGCTTTTTATGGTGCCATGAAATCCAACGTGATCAGTAATGAAACATAAAGAACTAAACCTTATTCTAAAATCTGTATCCTCTTCCATTCTTAAATAACAAGGCCTACAAAAGAAATAAAAGTTTCTTCAGTTAGTTACCAGAAAGAAAAGTTGCAGCTAACCAAACTAAATGTTTGCAGGGTTTATTTAATTATCTTTATCCCTTACAATTCATAAGAACAAGAACCTTGTCTGCCTTACTCACTGACTATCTCATAGTTAGAACACTGTCAAGCACATGTGGGCAAGCAGTCAATAGTAATTGCTGAATGAATGAAACGAGTACACAATAAGGACTGGAAGAGTGAAGAGGAAGAGAGATGAAGTCTGCCTCTGATAAACGAATAATGCAAGAAGTGGCCATCTGAGTCCTCAACACTGTCCAGGCGATGGAAACGATGCCCCGTAGTATCATAGGCAATGTCAGACAAAATATGCTATGTGCTAGAAACCCGAACAGCCCAAGTTCAGAGCAGCAGGAGAAAGCGCTTCCTAGTCCCGTTCTGGAAAAGGCGGCTGGATTAGTGACAAACTATGGAAGTCACTTGATGCCCTGCCAAGGCCTTAGC